ATGGAGATCTTGGGGGTCTTGAAGTGCATCTCAGGCATCTTAAACTTAGGGCCTTTCAACTTTGCATCAGGACATTCCAGATCGACTTCAGGCATCTCCACATCCACACTGGGACCTTTGATATCAACTTGTGGACCTCTGAGATCACCTTCTAGCTCAGGCACAGAAGCATCAATTTCTCCTTTCACTTTGGGTCCCTTCAAATTCAAGTCCACATCTGGCATGGATATCTTAGGAGCTTTGATATTCAACTTAGGCATCTTAAATTTAGAGCCCTTTAATTTTCCTTCTGGTCCCTCTATATCCAAATCAGGAGCATCAATGTCCACTTTGGGGCCAGACACATTAATGTCAGCCTTGGGCAGGTTCACATCCACTTCTGGGCCCTCACCTTTGAAGCCAGGCATACTGAACTTGGGCATTTTCACCTTGGGCATCTTCAGGTGCCAGTCTGGGCCATGAACATCCACATCTGGGACATCGATGTCTACTTTGGGCCCTTTGATGTCCACATCTGGCACTTTCATTTCACCTTCTATCTTCGGCATAGACACATCTGCATCCCCTTTGACTTTGGGGCCTTTCAAGTGTAAGTCCACATCAGGCATGGAGATCTTGGGAGTCTTGAAGTGCATGTCTGGCATCTTAAACTTAGGACCTTTCAGCTTCCCTTCTGGACCTTCAATATCAATATCACCAACATCCACATCCATCTTCGGGGCCTTCATGTCAATTTCAGGACCTTTCAACTCTCCTTCCACTTTGGGAAGGGAAACATCTACATCAGTTTTCAGTTTAGGGGCTTTTAGATTAAGTCCAACATCAGGCATAGAGATTTTCTGTGTCTGTATATTCATGCTTGGCATCTTGAACTTGGGACCCTTTAGTTTCCCCTCTGGACCTTCAATATTCACATCTGGAACATCAATGTCCACCTTGGGACCTGAGACATCAATATCAGCCTTTGGCAGGTTCACATCCACTTCTGGGCCCTCTCCTTTGAAGCCTGGCATGCTGAACTTGGGCATTTTCACTTTGGGCATCTTTAGATGCCAGTCTGGGCCATGAACTCCCACATCTGGTGCATTAATGTCCACTTTGGGACCTTTGATGTCAACATCCGGAGTTTTTATCTCTCCTTCTACTTTTGGAATTGTAACATCATAATCTCCTTTCATTTTAGGACCTTTCAAATGCAAACCAACATCTGGCATGGATATCTTCTGAGGCTTTATATTCATTTCTGGCATCTTAAATTTAGGACCTTTTACTTTTGCATCTGGACCATCAATATTCACATCTGGAACTTCAACATCCACCTTGGGCCCTGAGACATCAATGTTGGCCTTGGGCAAGTTCACATCCACTTCTGGGCCCTCTCCTTTGAAGCCAGGCATGTTGAACTTGGGCATTTTCACCTTGGGCATCTTTAGGTGCCAGTCTGGGCCATGAACATCCACATCTGGAGCACTGATGTCAACTTTGGGCCCTTTAATGTCCACATCTGGCACTTTCATTTCACCTTCTACATCAGGCACAGACACATCCATATCTCCCTTTAGTTTGGGCCCCTTAAGATTCAAGTTCACATCAGGCATGGAGATCTTGGGAGCCTTGAAGTGCATCTCAGGCATCTTAAACTTGGGGCCTTTCAGCTTTCCTTCCGGTCCTTCAATGTTGACATCTGGGGCTTCAATGTCCACTTTGGGTCCAGAGACGTCAATGTCAGCCTTGGGCACGTTCACATCCACTTCTGGGCCCTCACCTTTGAAGCCAGGCATGCTAAATTTGGGCATTTTCATCTTGGGCATTTTCAAGTTCCAGTCTGGGCCGTGAATGTCCACATCTGGGACATCGACGTCCACTTTGGGTCCTTTGATGTCCACATCTGGCACTTTCATTTCACCTTCTAACTTGGGCACAGACACGTCCACATCCCCCTTCACCTTAGGACCTTTCAAGTGTAAGTCCACGTCAGGCATGGAGATCTTGGGGGTCTTGAAGTGCATCTCAGGCATCTTAAACTTGGGGCCCTTCAGCTTCCCTTCCGGACCTTCAAGGCTCACATCTGGGGCTTCAATGTCAACTTTGGGTCCAGAGAAGTCAACGTCAGCCTTGGGCAGGTTCACATCCACATCTGGGCCCTCGCCTTTCAAGCCGGGCATGCTGAACTTGGGCATTTTCATCTTGGGCATTTTCAGGCTCCAGTCTGCACCTTGGACTTCCACATCTGGTGCTTTAACGTCTACCTTGGGTACTTTGATGTCCACATCTGGAACTTTCATCTCACCTTCTATTTTTGGCACTGACATATCTAGATTGCCTTTCATTTTGGGTCCTTTAAGATCCAAGTCAACATCTGGCAGAGTCATCTTAGGAGCCTTGAAGTGCATCTCAGGCATCTTAAACTTGGGGCCTTTCAACTTTCCTTCTGGTCCTTCGAGGCTCAAATCTGGAGCACTAATATCTACCTTGGGTGCAGAAATGTCCACATCAGCCTTGGGCAGGTTCACATCCACTTCTGGGCCCTCCCCTTTGAGGCTGGGCATGGTAAATTTGGGCATTTTCATCTTGGGCATCTTTAGGTTCCATTCAGGACCATGAACTTCAAAATCTGGGGCACTGACGTCTACTTTTGGCCCTTTGAGTTCCCCTTCCATCTTTGGCACCGTAACATCATATTCTCCCTTTACCTTGGGACCTTTCACATGCAAATCCACATCAGGCACAGAGATCTTAGGGGCCTTGATATTCATCTCAGGCATCTTAAACTTGGGACCTTTCAGCTTTCCTTCAGGTCCTTCAATGTTCACATCTGGAACTTCAACGTCCACCGTGGGTCCCGAGATGTCAATGTCAGTCTTGGGCAGGTTCACATCCACTTCTGGGCCCTCTGCTTTGAAGCCAGGCATGCTGAACTTGGGCATTTTCATTTTGGGCATCTTCAGGTGCCAGTCTGGGCCGTGAACATCAACATCTGGAACATCGATATCCACTTTGGCACTTTTAAGTTCAACGTCAGGAACTTTAATCTCACCTTCCACTTTTGGCACTGTGACATCGTATTCTCCTTTTACTTTAGGGCCTTTCAAATGTAAGTCCACATCTGGCATGGAGATCTTTGGGGCTTTGATATTCATCTCAGGTATCTTAAACTTAGGTCCTTTCAATTTACCTTCTGGTCCCTCAATGCTCACATCTGGAGCACTAACATCTACCTTGTGCCCAGAAATGTCCACATCAGCCTTGGGCAGGTTCACATCCACTTCTGGGCCCTCTGCTTTGAACCCTGGCACACTGAATTTGGGCATTTTCATCTTGGGCATCTTAAGATGCCAGTCTGGGCCCTGAACATCCACATCTGGGGCATCAAGGCCCACTTTGGGGCCTTTCAGTTCCCCTTCAAGTTTTGGGACTGTTACATCATACTCTCCTTTTACCTTTGTGCCTTTAACATGCAAATCGACATCAGGTATGGAGATCTTTGGTGTCTTGACACTCACTTCAGGCAGCTTAATATCAGGGCCTTTAAGTTTGCCTCCCAGGCCCCCTATGTTCACATCTGGGGCCTCCACATTGACCTTGGGCCCCAAAATACTGATATCTTTGGGTAGTTTCACATCTACAGCTGGGCCTTCCCCTTCAACTCCTGGAGGGCTGAACTTGGGCATTTTCAGGTTCCATTCTGGGCCATGAACTTCCACACCTGGGGCACTGACATCCACTTTGGGGCCTCTGACATCCACTTCAGGGACTTTGGCTTTCCCTTCTACTTTGGGGAGTGTGACATCTACACCCCCTTTCACTTTAGGTGCAGCCACATTGAGATCTACATCTGCCATAGAGATCCTGCACGTTCCTGTTTTCCCAGAAGGACTACTAAGCGTGGGTCCCGTCGAGGTCCCCTCAAGGCTAGGTGTCTCTATGTCCACTTTGGAGCCCTTAACTGCCACTTGAGGGCCTTTAACATCACCTTGCACCCCAGGCACTGAAACCTTAATATCTCCCTTCAGTTTAGGGGATCCAAGGCTCAGATCCACATCCTGCATGGAGATTTTAGGTTTCTGTAGGCTCATTTCAGGAGTCTTGACTTTCGTACCCTTCACCTTCCCTTCCAGCCCCCCAGCAGCAACTCCAGGCAGGCTGACGTCCCCAGAGATCCCAGGAAGAGTCACTTCACCTGTGGGCAGTGCCACATCAATGCCAGCTCCCCCTCCCTTAGAACCTGATACAGAGAATTTGGGAACTTTCACCTTGGGCATATTCAGTTTGCCCCCAGGCCCATGAATATCAACGTCAGGGGCTTGAACTTCCACACTGGAGCCACTGAGAGTGCCCTCAATTTTGGGCCCCGAGATGTCCACCCCTATGCTCCCCTGTGGCTTGGCACCTTTCGGGCCTCGGTTACTCTCAAGGGATGGCCCAGTGATCTGGGGGCCCTTCAGCTTCCCCTCGCACCCCTCAATATTGGCAGAAGGAGCACTGACTTCTAGCTGAGGGGTCTGGATGTTCCCGCCAATGGTCAGGCCTGGCTTGCCACCCTTGTGCTCCACAGAGAATTCAGGTACAGAAACGCTCAGCCCTGCCACTGGTGCCTGGCCCTCAGGCACTGCTGACACACCGAATTTTGGCACCTTCATAGTGGGAATTTTAATTTTCCCATTACTGCCACTCTCCAGAGACGGGTCCTGCACCTCCACTGCCCCACCCCCAAGAGAAGACGAGATGTCCACTCCTGGAACTTGGACCCCTCTCTTGCCACCCAAGTTCAAGCCTTTCGCACTGACATTGATGCCTGGGCTCCCCACCTTTATCCCAGGCACGGTGACCTGGAGCTTCGAGTGGCCAGCACCTTGGAGCTCTGGTCCTGAAGCGGAAACGGACCCCGCTCGGATGTCCACAACAGAGCCTGTGGGAGGAGACACTGCCCCCGGGCCCGAGGGCAGTCTGATCACTGTCTGGCCAGAGTGGGTGTCCACATCCACAGTGGAGATTTCCGTCAGTTCCTGCCGTGGAATCTTGATCTTGAACTCTGGGCTGCTGATACCAATCTCCCTGGTTCCCTCGCGGCCTGTCACGTCGACAGTGTAGGCCGTGACCCTTCTAGTCACCGTGATGGTGCGGCTCTGGGTCTCCCCAGGGTCCCCTTCTAGTCCATCCTCTGACCTCAGCCGAGGCTTGATCTTCGCGGTGTAGATGCGCTGGTAGTCCTCATCATCCCCGCTCTGCAGAAAGACACAGCCGGCCGAGGCTGTAGCAGGGTCTGCCTGAGCCACAGACGCCCGGCCACAGCCCAGCTGCCAACACGGTTGCCTGTTTCCCAAAGAAGCTGGGACCAGAACGGAGGCCCCACGGAGCCTCCTGGGGCGGAGCACGGAGCGGGGAAGAAAGGGGCTGACAGCCACATCACAGGAGGAAAACGAATTATTTGGGGAAACTCCGGGAAGCAAAAGCCATGGGGGAGAGATGTGGGGTTGACTCCTGCCTTGCGTGGTCTGGAAGAAGGATTTACAATCAATTCTAGATTCCACCTGTCCTGTCAAATCCCAGGGATGCCTCCCAGCTCTGTGTGGATTTGACCCTTGGGCTCTCAATTCTCGACTCACTGGCTTGTTTAATGGGGACCCGTCAGAAAGCTTTTGTTGAGACTCTGCCGTGCTTGGGTTAACACTTTCACTTTGAGGACCCATTATTTGTTAAATAAACAAGCCATCAGAAGGAGCAAAGAAACGTCCCCCAGGCACTTTGCTGCCCAGCCTCTGACTCACAGATGAGTCCAGGCCTCTGGAAGGATAAAAACGGTGTCTGGGAGGCAGAGCAGGGCACCTGTGAGACTAGTCTGAAGATTCCTTGCCAAGCAGCTGAGCTTCCTCCTGGCATCTAGGGCCAGACAGCGTGAGTGGGTCCCTATGCTGCGGCACTCTGGAGAGACTGACGGAAGACTTTCAAGGGCAACATCAGCCACACGCCACACACAAATAGGAGGAAGGCGCGGTCTGACTTAACAGAGAGTGCAGAGGGGAGAAAGCAGGAGAAGGAGCCACAAGAGAGGCCCAGGAGGCAGATACAAGGCTCAGGAAGTGGCCAGCAGGTCAGTGTGGCTACAGGGGGCTCAGGGCGCAGATGGGCCAGTCGGGCACTCACCAGAACCACCTCAGAGCTTCGGGAGCTGAAGACTTCGTGGGCCCAGGTCTGGCCAGGCTCAGGGGAGCGGTCCCCCTTGCGATGCAGCTTCAGGCCCACAGTGTGGTGCCCCATGGTGTTCAGCAGCTGGGTCACCTCGCCTGACTGCAGGTTGTCAAAGTAGATGGTGGCACCCACAATCTGGTCCCCTGAGCAGGACGGAGCAAGAAGCAGGTGAGACCCACGGGGTCTTGGGAAAACAGCACACAACCACCGCATGCTGGGCCCTCGAACTGACTTGCATTCAATGCGTGTCATGACCACCCTACAGGGCAGGTGCGGTAATACCCGTTGCGCAGATGAGGAAAGGAAGGCTTAGGGAGGCCCACCGATTCGCCCCAAGTGGCAGATCTTGTGGGTAGTGAAGTGGGCACTAAGGACGACGTCTCCACCCCCCGACATAACCACTCCCCCCGAGGACTCTGTGGATCGAGGGACACAGAGTGGGCAGGGCAGGGGAGGGCAGGACTTGGGCACCGACCGTCCTGATGTCGCTGGCACTGGCCCCTCCACGGCCCCTGTGGCCTTCCCTCCGCCGCCCTCAGCCAGCCCAGCCCAGCACCCAGCCCGCACCCTGAGGTGACTCACCCTCCTTGACCACCCCAGTGCGGGCCGCAGGGGAGTTCTGCATCACCTCCTGCACAAAGACACCGTCGTCCCTCTGGGCGATGGTCAGCCCATGGGAGCCGCTGCCCTGCCAGTTGGGCAGCAGCAGCTCCCGGGTCGTGTCTTCTTCCTTCTCCATCTGGGGTGAGGTAAGGAAACGTGGGCTCAGGACAGTGGGGGCTCGAGGGCATGAGGAGATAAGAAAGCCAAGGACCTCTGGTGCTGTGAACTTGCAGGGAGTGCAGCGTGTCCCAGGTGCCCATTTCTGCTGTGGAAATGGTCCCCGTGGAAAGTGGACACCGGCTCATTCCTTACCCCCGGGGCCCTGCCTCCCGATGCCCCCCCCCCTGGGGCCCCCCCCCCCCCGCCCCTCACCTCCGTCACACCCTCCCTCCCACGGACCTTTTGCAGGACTCAGTTCAGGAGCGGATGCCTTGCCAGGAGCCCGCCCCTCCTTCCTCTCTTCTCAGTCTCTCTCGTCAGGAATCTCGGTCACACAGCCTAGGGAAAAGTGGACAAAGATGCTCACGCTCAGCAGGCAGCTCGCTCAAAACCCCGACTGCAAAAGATGGCTGGCTTGCTCCTGTTCCGTTCTCGGGGCCACACCGAAACCCTAACCCTCCCCTACTTCAGTTCCATTCATACATGACTGTCCAAGCTGGGATCGCAGAAAGGGGGCTTAGGGGAGGCCAGACCCAGATATAAACCCTGGTATCAACCCTGGCTCTGGGGCCCGAGTGGCTCACTCGGTTAAGTGGCTGCCTTCGGCTCGGGTCATGATCCCGGAGTCCCAGGATCGAGTGCCGCATCAGGCTCCCAGCTCAGCGGGGAGCCTGCTTCTCCCTCTGCCTCTGCTCGCGAGCTCTCTCTCACTCTCTCTCTCTCTCTCTCAAATACGTAAATAAAATCTTTAAAAAATAAAAAGAAATAAACCCTAGCTCTGCATCCTCCCAGCTGTGTGCATGTCCCTGGCCAAGTCACTCAACTTCTCTGAACATCCATCTCCTCCTCTGTGAAAACGGAGCTGATACAGGATCTCCCTGAAGACGGAAGGAGAGAGCGCGCGAGCGTGTGTGGAAAAGCTCAGGCGCACACGAGTCTCACAAAACACCCATTCTCTTTAGGCTCTTTATAACAGCTCCAGGAAGGAGACGTTGCTGTCCCCATTTTACCGATGGAGAAACTGAGAGCTGAGGTCCACCATGAGCGTGCCACTACCCTTGGGCTCTGAGTCTGCAACTCTCTCCCCTACAGCACCTCAGGTCTGCAGCTTTAACCGGCGTGAGACTCCACTTCTCTGTGTCTCCAGCACTGAAGGCGACTGCCTAGCAGACCTGAAAGCAGGAATGGTGGTGCCCTCCCTCCCCTGCTGACAAACAGTGACTCTGAGTCACCTGATCCAACCCGGTCTTTAGGACCAAGGGGACTCTCAGCAGCTGGGAGCTCCAGATGCAGCAGGCTGAACCAAAGAAGCCCCGAGCCCCTCCGAGGCCAGTCCACGCCCCAGATGCCTGAATGCAGCTGAGCTGCCTCAGGGACACGGGGAGTCAGGGCCCATCTGGCTGCCCACGCAGGGCGCTGGGCCAGGCCCCCTGAGGAGCCGGCACTCGGGAGCAAAGATGCCCTCTGGCCACAGGATGAGCTGTCAGCTGCAGAGGTGCCCTGGGAAGACACGAGGCAGGACTCTGAATACAGCCCTGGCCTACAGCCACCCACGCAGAATGGCAGGGGCAGAGTCATCCAGAAGCAGGTCTGTGAAACCGTGTGGGGGATGCTAAAAATCAGGCAGAGCCTCACCCAAAGCCCCACCCTAAAGCTGTTTACATTCAGAAATTAGTCAACCGATCAACAAATACGTGCATACTGATGGCCTCCTGCATGTCCAACACTGTTGCAGACACAGCAAAGAAAACCAGCAAGGGACAGACACAGCCCAGCCCAGCCCTGCGCCCACTCGCAGCTTTAGATTGTCACTGAACTTCACTTGCGTGTCCTCCCAGCATTTACTAAATGCGCTCCATGCACCAGATGGGGAGATTTTAAAGACTTAAGTTCCTGTCCCGGATATAAATTATGAGCAAGGTGCTCTGGGTGTGACTCATTTAGCCTCAGAATGTTCTAGAAGGTTGGGGAGCCTCCTGGGGGGGGGAATGAAATGTAGAAGGAGAGAATGGGGCAAAGAGAACCTATTATTTGCCAGTTCTCTTGAAGGCGTTAGAGTTTGCCTCTGAGCACAGGATCGTGTCCCTCGGAAATTCACGGGCGCTTAGCAGCTCTGGCGAAAGACAGCGCCTAGATACCCAGTCCTCCACACACTGAACTCACGCATGCAGTATTCAGGACATGGGTGCTGCCTAGGAGGCGAGCAGAGCCACTGACGGTGAGCAGCCTATCAGCACAGGTGTGAGCTAGGGAATCGCCTCGTCCCCTCCCAACAAGCAGCCCCTATGGGAAGTCACACGGACCCCAGCGAACAGCACAGCTGCGACTTTAAGGCGCCTTCCCCCAGCGTCCAGCACCAAGAAGCCAGCCCTGCAGACAGGGAGCCAGGCAGGGCAGGGGAGGAAAAGGCTTCCAGCCTGAGGGCTTCTCAGCTCTCTGAAGCCACCAACCAGCCTAGCACCTTACTCTTCCTCCTTGAGCAGCCCCCCCCTTTTCTCTGCCCAGCAGAGCCAGCAGGCAGCGAGGGGTGGAGACGGAGAGCCAGCTCACCCTCGCCCACAGCTCGGCCCCACCCTCCCTCCTTCCCCAATGAGTCACTGAGGCTGCAACAGCTCCAGACATGCAAAGGGTCACGCCTAAAAACCCATCGACAAAGTGCTTCGTTGGCCAGAGCCCCGGTGCCAGAGGGGCTGGGGCTCCGGCGCAGACGGGCAGTCAGCTTCCCTCAGGATGGAGCCCCAGGCCAGGAGTCCCCAAAAGCACAGCTCGGAGGCTCAGGAGGGACTTGCTATGCACCTCAAGCCAAGCAGCTCAGAAGGAGGGGAGAAAGCCATCATGAGTGGTGAAGGGTCCACAGCCCGTGAGAACAGGAGCCGTGGGACTGGGGGCTGCAGGTTGGCCCCAGCAGGGCACCCCCTGGATTCCTGGCTGGGAGGGGCTGCCAACCACCCTGCCTGCCCCGGCCTAGGGCTCTCCTTCTAGCGCAGCCAGGAGCAACTCCCCTCCCCTCTCCTCTGCTCTGGGCCATTGAGGTGGCTGCACATGGGGCTGCTACTGGGGGATTCGAGACCACGGTGGGAAGGGTCTGTTTACTGCATCTGAGTCCCAGCGCTCAGTCTCTCCCACATCTTTGGAGCCTGTACCAAGCCCAGATGGGCCCTTCTTCCCCTACATAAGTCAGGTGATGCCAGGCTTCCCCGGGGCCTGAGGGTCCTGCCCTGTGGCTACCCAAAGGAGGGTCTTTGGAACTCCAGGGAATTCTGCACATTCGGCCCAAGTGTCATAAGTCTTTGGAGCTAGAAGACACCTTATAGCCATGCTGTCAACATGGTAGCTATATGTGGCTATTTATTTTTTTTTTAAAGATTTTATTTATTTATTTGTGAGAGAGAGAATGAGAGACAGAGAGCATGAGAGGGAAGAGGGTCAGAGGGAGAAGCAGACCCCCTGCTGAGCAGGGAGCCCGATGTGGGACTCGATCCCAGGACTCCAGGATCATGACCTGAGCCGAAGGCAGTCGCTTAACCAACTGAGCCACCCAGGCGCCCTATATGTGGCTATTTAAATGTATATTAATTTAAATTAAGTTAAATTGAATTGTTAGTTTATTGCTTGCAGTAGCCGCATTTCAAGAGCTCAACAACCACATAAGGGCTACCATATTAGGGCAGATGCAGAACATTTCCACCACTGCAGAAAGCCCTGCGGGACTGCACTGTCCAGTATTTACAGATGGGGAAGGCAAGGTCCAGAGAGGTGAGGACAGGAGAGTGTCGGGGTCCCAGAACCCTGGTCTGCCAGCTCCCCACCCCGAGGTCCACCTGACCCTGGCTCACAGTGTCCTTTATGATGGGAGGGACTGGAGTGGGGACCCTCTAGGCAGAAGGCTGCTTAGAGGGCCGAGAAAGAGCGAGATGGGACATCCACTCCACCCGTGAGGCTGAGACTGTGGGGACACCATAACTCGGGCTAGAAGCAGCGAGAGAAGAACAGGGCTGTGCCAACAATTCAACACTGCAAAGAGCGGGCGCCTGGGTGGCTCAGTCGGTTAAGCGTCTGCCTTGGGCTCAGGTCATGATCCCAGGGCCCTGGGATTCAGCCCCAGCCCGCCCCCACCCCCGTTGGGCATCTTGCTCAGCGGGAAGTCTGCTTCTCCCTCTCCCTCTGCCCCGCCCCCTGCTCCTGCACACACTCTCTCTCTCAAATAAATTTATGTATTTATTTATTTGAGAGAGAGAGTGCACATGAGAGGGGGGAGGGTCAGAGGGAGAAGCACACTCCCCGCTGAGCAGGGAGTCCGATGCGGGACTCGATCCTGGGACTCCAGGATCATGACCTGAGCCGAAGGCAGTCACTTAACCAAATGAGCCACCCAGGCGCCCAATAAATAAAATTTTTTAAAAAGCCTTCAAAGAGGAATGTGCAGACCGGAGGGGGCGGGGGTTGACATGCGGGCAGATCCGGGAGGCAGACTCCTTGCCCAGGGCAAAGGGTCTCTGCCAGGGGTGGCGTCCAGAGGAGCATCTTTCCCACCCTGCCCTTAGGGAACAGAGCCCCTTCGTCCCCCAAGAGCGAGTATGAAGTCAGCCAGGGAGGGGGGGGGCCCAGCCTAACCGCCGCTGCAGCCGAAAACAGCCTCGCAGCCAGTGCCAGGGTCAAGATGACAGGAACTGACAGAGGCCCACTGCCCGAGAGACATGGCCGTGGGCCTCTATGCCTTCTGTGCGCCAAACCTGAAGCTACATACCAGAGGGGCACAAGTGTGAGCACATGCCCAGCACAGGATGGACACGGGAGGTGAGGCTCCAAGGGAGAGAGAGGCGCTCCCACCCACTGAGGAGACGACACCAACAGCACTGGGACTTGTACCCAGCGCGATGGCAGGTATGGGACGGATCAGACCCACCATACACACAAGCCAGGGAGAAGCACCTCCCGCGCCCAGGAAGAATGAAATGACTCACACCCCAGGTAGAGACCTCCACCAGAGGGAAAGTCCCCTTATAACGGGACGAGCGCGTAGGATATTGAAAGAAAAGGGAGACACACCCAGAGGGGCAATCCGCTCTCATAAGCACCAGACGGCAAAGAGGAAGAGAAAGTGCTGCGTTGAGAGAAAACCCCCAACAGACTGAGAAAAGGAGAATTTTGCCGAGCTCCTGTGGCGTGCTGTAGTTCCAGGCCTGGGGGCTCATTCGATCCCAGACAACCCTCCGTGATTAATAATTAATGTCCTTATTTTAGAGATGCAGCAGCAGGCCTCCAGAGAAAAGATGACTTGCCCAAGTATGAGCTAGGGTTTGAGATGTAAGCCCGGGCTTCTAGGACTCTGTGGCTCC